ACAGTCCCAGTGGGTATGGCATTATCTACACAGATATTAAAGTAGTCCATAATGCAATTGTAAGGTCAAATACCTACAGTCATTCAAATCATGCTTTACTTATCGCCTTGTTTTTAAGCTCTAGGCAAGGTTACCTAAGCATTAAGATAGCCAAAGACTCTCATTGCTGTCTAATCATTTTACAGACTAGAGGAATGTGACATTGAAATGCTTTAAGCGTTGCACAGAAATTCTCTTCAATGTTTCTTTCTGTCTCAGGTTAGAGTTCAGGTGAAGGATGTGAACGAGTCGCCACAGTTTCCCCCAAAGGTTTATAGTGCCTCCATATTCAGCATCGCCCCCTATAAAACTCCTGTCATCCAAGTGAAGGTAAACACACCCAACTTTTTCCGTTTCCATCTGTCTGGAAATAATATAATGGTTCTGCGAATGTTTGCCTCCTTTGATTTTATGTTTACATAAAAGGCATCTGCTATCATGCAATGTACTTTGAACTGAAATCCACTCAGTAATCTGTTCATGGTTAATGTGTCTGTGAGCGTGAAACACACCACATCACCAGGAATCAGAGAAAACCATTCACAGCAACACTTCCTACATCTTCCAGTATGTCAAGTCTCCTGGCTGAGTAATCACCAATGAAAACACTAAATCAGTCAGTGTGACGTGTGCACTGCCAGTAAACACAGCAACAAGAAACATCTGATGATCACTGATGTGGAGCTAGTTTGGATAACTTAGTTTTAGACTTTTGGTTTAATCGAGTAGCTCACAAATTAGTATCAACTACAATCGACTGCATTAGTTCATAAAGGTTTTAAGTGCTTTTTTTGCTCTCTACCTCCAGGCTTCAGATCCTGATGTTGGAGATGTGGGGCAGCTGGTCTACAGTTTGACAGCAGAAAGTCCTTATTTTGACATTGACCCATCCTCAGGTCTGGTCTATGTGATCTCAGCTACAGAACTGGCTGGACAGACAGCTAAACTGGAGGTGAAGGCCACTGATCCCCACGATCTTCATGCTACCGCTGTAGTGGAGGTGAGTGTTTAAGACCAGATGAAGACAGGTAAATCTGATGAGATGATAACTGCAAGCTTTTTAAATTCAAATATCTTTATTGGCATCATCATTGAAGGACACATTCGAAACCTGTACCTAAATAAAAGCGATACCTTTAAAAGCTTAGTTCACAGGGTGAGCAGCCCCCCCTGCTCCAACGAATAAAAGCAAAAGTCTTTATTAATAATAAATACACAAAAAATAACTGATAGCTGATTTCCATATGCATAAATACAAAGTATATACTTTTAATTCATCTTTTTGTTTATTTTGTTCAATAAAACAGGTTAATAAGAAGTTAAATTCCAAGTTAAATTAATCTCTCTTCTGCCCCCAGGTGATGGTTCAGGCAAGTGCAAGCAGCTCCAACATTGTGACCATCTCACTTAATCAGCCTGCTAACATTGTGGAGAAGAAAGTTGAAGATTTATCGACGTAAGACAGGTTTAGCTGGTTAAAGCTTGCTTTCTATGATCCACTTCTGTTAGTTCTAATAGATTTTTGTCTCCCAGGTCTTTGGGCAAAGTTCTGGGCTGGACTGTGAACATCATTCAGGTGTTCAGCGCCAACGATGGATCCACCGGCACCCGAAACCTGAGAGTTTCTGTGAGGACTTTGGTCCGCTTCTTTGTTGTAGATGGAGGCCAGGTTGTTTCCTCTGAAGCAGTCATAAAGTAAGAGACTGACTTCTAATGTGTTCTACATCAGGCCCATCTGTTAGACACTCAGTATTGTTTTGTTTTGGTTTTTAGCAAACTTGCCTGAAATTCATTAGTCTGACTAATGTTGATTTTGAATAATTTTCCAGAGTTTTGACCATTTTGACCAGTTTGAAATCTAAACCTGGTCTCATAAAAATTAACTTCTATATTTAGATATAATCAGGGAAAGATCACTGTGTAAAAAGGTCATGTGACAGATTTCTTTTGACCTCTTGCTGTCTGATCCACCAGGAAACTGCAGAGCCAATCAGATGCTGTGAATGCAGAGCTGTCTCAGTTGTTTGGGGAGGAG